GCAATGGACCCCCCAGTCTGCATCTAAGTGGACCACCTTGGCTTGTCTATATATCTTTAACTTTCAAAAATCATCTACTAATCCCTTATGTGACCCTTGCAGTCTCTTTTTTCATGAATGGAAACCTTCCCATGGTGCTTCCCTTTACTTTTGTGCTATTTACCACTCAGCGCACGCTAGTCAAAACCACTTCTATACTGCTCCCACCACCGCATCCTTAACGTCTCCATCCTCCCCTTCTTATGCATCATTCATCCAATCTGAGCAAAAAGCACTGGCACAATGGGATAAGGAACCCGCAGCTGCAAACACTTTGGTTGGAATTTATCAAAACTGGAGCAGACAAGATCTGGAGCAGCTGTGCATGGCAAACAATCAGCTTCTCTCTTCAATTTGAAAATAAAAGAGAGAAGCTGATTGGTTGTCATGCACAGCTGCTCCAGATTTTGTCTGCACCAGTTTAGATAAATTCCCTTCTTTGTGTCTATGATGGGCTTCACCATATTGTTAGCTGGTTACATATTAGTTATGGAGCAGCAACTCACTAAAGTCGTGGTTTATATTGTCTTTAGAGCAGGGGTGGGCAACTTTGACACTCCAGCTGTTAAGGAACTACATGTCCCATGAGACATTGCAAGACTGACAGCCATAGGCCAGACTCCCAGATCCAATTTGAAGTTTCCTCACAGCTGGAGTGCTGAGGTTGCCTACAATTCCTTCAGAGAGTACAGCTGGACACACAAGTGAGGAATAGGTTTGTGGGCAATCCCTCCACAAGCAAAGATGCTACTTCAGCCAATTACAATCCATGTTTTACTTAGATCAGGTCCAAGGATGAAAGAGAAAACTTGTCCAGTGGCTGTAGACCACACTCCCCCTTTATTTACTAAAGCCAGCCTGCTGCAGGGCCTGAGCAGTCACTGAGGGGGTAGAGAGGAGGACATCTGTGTTGCTGTATGAAGGAATCTGAAGCTGGGCTTTACCTTTCAGTGTAAATGGAAAATGTTTCAGTGTTGTATTTCAACAGAAGGACAACAAAGCGATGAATACAAAGTATGTTCTGATGATTCTGCTCATTAGAGGATATTACAAATGTCTCACATTTTTGGAACTGTCAGATCTGGGCACCTTCTGCTGTTTTTTGTTGAATTCCCGTCCTTTCAGATTGCAATATGTCATTTTTATGTGAGTGTTATATTTTGCTATTTTTACATAAATAAATATTTGCTTTTATTGTGTTTTTGATCTGGTGTCACCTAATGTCATGTTTACATACAGATATACACATACCATAGTGGGATTTTATGTAAGAAAGAACAGCACAGGATTTCAAAGGGTTAACATGGAGGTGACACGTGTTTCACTCATTTTCTACCTTTTTTATGCTATTTACACAGCTCTGCACACATCATTGGGTTTACATCTATGTAGAAAGTGTATCTCAGGGTAAAGCTGTCAGACAACAGCCAGCCACAAACCAGACTAACACGCACTAGGAAAGCTCAGTAGGAGAATAACAGTTTGGATTGGATTTGACTGGAATTGGTCTTTGACAGTTTTGCCATCACTCCTATAAATAAGGCCCATTGTATCATTGGACAATTCTCATCCTACACAGCGCACAGTGCCACGGTGTGATCTGTCCCCAGTTCTTGGTCATGTAACATCTCAAATCACATGGGCAAGTGAAGGGGCCAGATAAAGGAGAGCAAGGGCCTGTGTTCACGTCAGATGGGTTTTGCATCCCCATACAAATTTATTAAATGCAAAACCCATTTAAAGCAGATAAGGTCAAATGCACCTGTCCCTGAATATTTTAATAGATGATATCAAAAGTGTCTCATACTTATGCCATCAACAGAAGCCAAAAGCTCATCAACGCGGGTGCAAAAGCACAAAACCAAACATCCATTTAAATGTATTCATTCATAGCCATAAAGGAGATTAATACACTTTGTGAGGACAAAATGTCTTTGTAAACCCAGTAAAAGTACAAGGGATACCATCAGTGTGCTGCACATAGACTGTACAGAGAGCAGGGCTGTAGGAGCGACCCTGCAGGCCCCACCCACTACAGGAGGGGGCGGATACAAGACCAGTCTCCCTACACAAGGAGAGAGAGCAGCAGTGACTGATCTTTATTATAGGAATCATCTACACCCTTGGTTCTCAACTGGTGGGTAGTGACCCCATGTTCAGTGGGCCGTCACAAGCCTTCCACTTTTCTAGGCGAAAGGTTCCTCAGCCTCCTCCTAGCGCAGCACTGTCAGTTCTCGCACCAAGCAACCATTTAAAATATGCTGCTCAGTGCCAAGTGTCAGCTTGAGTTGGGGTGGGTTAGGGGTAGGGCTGCGAGGGAGCTCCATCCATACATGCATTGCTTATAGCTTCCTCACGTGCCCTGTAGAGGTGCCTGGACCGGAGTGACATCACATTCTGGTTCCCGGCGCCTCTACAGGGCGCACAAGGGAGTTGTACAAGCAATGCATATGGATGGAGCTCCGTCACAGCACAGCAGCCCACACTAAACCCCAGGCTGAGGATCCAGACTTGCATTGCCATTCATTTTAATGGTACCCCAAATGCACCTCCCACCCACAGTTCGTACATCTGCACCAGAACGCGCGGTGCCCTAATGCCATGTGCTCCATTGCAGTGCGACTTAATGACCAAGGACAAATGTGGGTCCTGAGGTTACACAGGTTGAGAACCACTGATCCACACAAAGGAAAAGCTTCACACTGGATCACTGCACAGATCTAGTTGGAGTTTAATGTGCTCTGCCCAGGTTCAAAGAAGCTTTCCTCCACTGCTCTCCCTTGTAGGATGTAACTGACTGCACTCTGCATCTATAGCCCATGTCACAGCAGGGAGGATGTAGCAGCTACAGAATCACTTACCATAGGGGAAGATGAATCGCAGTCAATGAAAGGTCTATGTCGCAGACATTTTATGTGCTTTGTTGCTGAATGATTGACGTTTTGCAGAGTTTGGAGGCATTTACACAATCTCCAGCTTTGGTAACTTACCCATTGCACCTGCGGGAATTCATAGCACTCCAGCAAAAATTGGAATTGGCTACCACAGCCAATCCCTAGACAGCTGTAAATAGTGAGACACAATAAGCAGAGATCTGTAGTGGCAACCGATCTCTGATACAAAGCTGCAAGGGTGACATTATCATTATACAGGATTTATATGGCGGCAACAGTTTCCGCTGCGCTTTACAATATAAGGAAGACATTACAACTGACTGATATCCAGGGTGACAGCTGGATTAGGGGAGACACTTCCACCCCACATGCAGGATGGATGAGAAACGTGCACATCTATCAGTGGTTTTCAGCGCGGGGGTCTGGCACTGCGACATTTTGGTACAGGGATAGTAGTTTTTAGCACTGCTGGTACAGACGCAGGCTAAAGTAGTTAAAGAGGCCCTGTCACCAAGCAGTAACTAGAGTTAAAAGCAAATGAAAATCAAGTATTGTAAATGCTTACTTGCAGGGTTTTATTGTTCCATAAATTATTTTCTATTCAGAGACAGTGTGCCTTTCAACTTGCTAGAAAGACTGGTGCAGGAAGAGTCTGTTCCTTAGCATAGCCCACTCCCTCCTTGCATGTGATAGACTTTTCAAGAAGAGAAGAGAGCTAAGTACTCTGTGCTGGCCCAGCTCTTTTGGCAATCCCTCACCTCCCTATATTTCATCTTTTTATGTAGCTGCCAGGGAAGGAGCATCGGCAGGCAACCTCAGCATTCCAGTTGTGGTGAAGCTACAAATCCCATCATGCCTCTGCTTCAGGAAGCCATACCTGTGGCGGTTAGGGCTTGTTCACACCAAGTACAGTGCGTTCCAGCGTGGTTAGCTGCTGGAACTCCCCCCTGCATTCTGGGGCGGGGGCATGGCAGTGCATTCAAGTCAATGGCAACGCAACCACGACACCCTGCCCACAGTGCAATTGCCCGCATCAGAACGCGTAGCATAGGAATGCCTGCGTTCCGGTCCAGTGAGAACGAAAAAAAAATGCTGCATGCAGTTTTTTTGTGATTGCACTGGACCGGAACGCAGGCATTATTGTACTGTGGGCGAGGCTAGTGGCGAGTTTAGTATGCAATGGCTGCTGGAACGCAATGTAATTGGTGTGAACAAGCCCTCAGAGTTTTGCAATGCCTCATGGAGCTTGTAGTTCCGCAACAACTGGAGTGCCGAGGTTGCCCACCCCTGCTTTAGGGATAGCTCAGTCTGCTGGCATCACATCCAAGATGGAGGTGCCCAGCCGCTGTCTCAGAGCTTTGAATGTGTTCATAAGCGAGGCTTTTACAAATAACATTAAAGTGATATCTTAAGGGAAGGCTTTTGTTGATGAACGGTCTGGCAATAGGGTCTCTTTAACCTTTAAGGCAAATCTGTATACTGCAATTCCTGACAGGAGACAAGCCAGCCACCATGGGGGCCTCACAGTCAGACACAGCAGCCATGATGGCAACACAAGTGAAGAACAGCACACATACCTACACCTGAGAAGTAAGGCTGAACCATTAGAACAAACTCAACACAAATTTGTTTTCCTTTCTATGTCATTGGTCTGCTGTAGTAAACAAAAAAATACAAAAAACCAAAAAAATACTCACCGTATCTCCACTGCTATGCACTACAGACTTACAGATCTGCCATCCAGCACCAGTCCTGTCATGGACTGAATGACGCTTAGCATCAATTTAACCCACTTCCTGTGAGCGCAAGGCTTAAAGGGCCCCCCACTGCCCTGGATTCACAGGAAAATGCTGCAGAGAGCTCTCCTTACAGCATTCAGGATCTGCCCGTGACTGGAGGAGCTGTGATGTCATGTCACCAGGCCACATACCTTTTTTTTTTTTAAAGGAAGTGTGTGTACATTTGTAATCCCTTGATTGGGAAAGGTGATACCCCAGCTTGGAGTTCGGCTTAGATTTTACCCACTCAATCTAGAAATTAGAAGCCACATCTTTTTTTTTTATTATTATTTTGTACATACAAAATATTTACAATCTCTTCCCTGATACGGGACAATATACAAATGGCACAAAATTCAGAATACAAAGCAAGTAAAAAGTAGAAGTAAAACACAATTCGTTAAAACTGGAATAAATAATAAACACACGGAGCCGGCATAATTCCGGGGTTTACTCTAAAAGAAAACTTGTGTCTAAAACAACGGGCGGGCAGATGTCATACCTCCAGACGGAACCTGGCCAGCAGAGAGAGGTGGTCGGAGGAACTGATCTCATTGGGAAGGCCATTGACGCTCCACAAATCTTTTTCAGCAAGAAGGGACAGCCTTCCGAGAAGCTGCAGCCCGTTACATGGAACGCTGGCTCCTAGAATGAAAATCAATCAAACAGCAGATATGTCACATGGTGCTTGTGGTTAATATACTTTTGCAGTGTGTATATAGTATGAACCTTTTTTTAAAGTGAAACTGTGCCCAGACTATGCACAGTCTGACTATGGGCAGACTGTGCCCAGACTAAAGCAGGCCGTACACCTAGAGATTATCTGCAGACTTTCTATGGTCAGATGGAAAAAGTGCAACAGATTCCTCCATCTACGCTGAACTGTGTGTGTATGGAGGAATCTCCCACTGGGCCAAGCGTCGGTATCTTGCTAGTCGGCCCCGCTGGATGTCAAAATACCTGAACAATCTGATTGAATGCAGGCATTGTTCAGGTAAGGGATGAAGGACAGTAAAGCCCCTTGTCCAATCACAGAATGCCTTGAATGCTGTGAATAGAATACATGACGTTTTAATAAGTGGATGACGGGTAACTCTTGTAGACTCTAGTAGGAGCCCGGAAGATGAAACCTGACCGTAAATCTGTCATGAGGACAGCAGCAACACTCCAGGTAGAGTACACTAAGCATTAGAAGTAACTTAGCTGCACCAATCTAAAGTAAATCACATGTTTTTTTCCCCTGTAGTTTAGCTTTAATGTCCATAACCTGGGCACAGGTACACTTTAACTTAAAGAAGAACTCCTAGCATAATTGGTCTTAACCCTTGTCCCCACGATGCAAGGGTTAAGTGCTAATTTTTTATCTAGGGATGAAAATAATAAAAAAGATAAATTCAACTGAACCTCGCAGAATACCTGAACGGAGCTGCCGACTCTATTCGAAGATTTTTCAACCAGCTCCTTCGATTAGCTGATTGAGGGATGTCGGCCGAAAGGGTGGCGACAGCAGCACCCACTATACAAATTTCAGCAGGTTCATCAAGATCCAGCCAAAAATCTCTTAGTGTATGTTCGGCTTTACAGTGACCCTCCACACAGGAGCCGAAGTAAAATGATCCATTCATATACAACAATCGCAGTGCTTGTACGCCATCTAGTGTTCATTATTGGGAGATTATCTACAGTCCTCACAAATCGGTATTTTCACATTTATACATTTTTTTTATTCTTTGTTGATAAATAAACAGGGAGCTTTAGGGCTCATTCACACTGGAATCGGCTGGGCACGTACAGCTCCGTGCTGCGGGCACAGACGTATCGAGCAGCTCCCGGGAAGGACAGGTGTTGCGTGTGATTAGTACGCAGCCCCTTTCCTTCTCTATGGGTCTAAGTGGCCATACGCCCCCCTACGCTCACCTCAAGTGCAGGTCCGTATGGGTGCGTGTGTCCCGACTCAGACAGGACCATCCTGCCAGCATACGAATGGGCTCACCCGCACCCGCCAGGACATGCAGGGCAGCGTATGGCCGCGTAGTCCCATAGAGAAGGACAGGGGCTGCGTACTAATCACACGCAACACCTGTCCTTCCCGGGGGCTGCCCGATACGGCCGTGCACGCAGCACGGAGCTGTACATGCCTGGCCGATTCCCGCATGAATGAGCACTTAATGACAGCTCACTCCCCGCCACCAAAAAAACAACGTCATCTTCAGTGAAGCTGTCCTTTGAAGTTTCCCCCGATGCCCTCAGTGTAGCCCACACATATACTTACCTTCAGACCCACTGTAGAAGAACTTCACTGAGCGGCACAGCTTTTACAATGCAGGACCTCCAAGTTCTAGCTTTCACAGTACATGAATGTATTGATGTTTTGGAACACATCTATCATGAAACAAGGAACATAGTATAGTTCAAGTCTTACCTGGCTGGACAAAAACGTCATTTATGGCTGCAGAGTAGAAGATATAATCCACGGTGATGGCAGTGCTGGAGTGGCAGGTGGTGATCTCTGGCATCCCGGTGTCCGGCAAGATATGGGAATACACTGAAGAAAGCCTGAAGTGGTGTTTCAGATTGGATTCCACCCTGATACAGAAACAGATCACATGAAACCAGATCACATGAAACCAGAGTCAAACACAAAGCTGACAGCTTCCTGTCATGTCTGCCATCACAATCATGTTCCTTTATTCAACCCCTTCCCAACGCCCTCTTAGGCAGTTCCCTGTGGTGGGAGAACGCTAAAGTCTTTATAGTCTGTGCATCTCTACCCTCTGGGATCAAAGCACTTTATATTGAGCACATTCACATCAGTCTCTGCCCTCAAGGAACTTACAATCTAAAGTCCCCATCTCACATAAACGCACCAATTTAGACCAGAGCCAATTACCCCACCAGCGTGTCTTTGGAGTGTGGGGGGAAACCGGAGTACCCGGAGGAAAGCCACAGATGGCAGTTTGTATCTAATAATGTTGCTGCATCTGACATTCAAAAATCGATCTGGGTGGCTATAAATCCACTTCTACATAGTTACATAATGCACTCTCCCTCTTTTTGTCTGTAGCCCATGCTTATCGGGGATAGAGAGTCACTCACTAAGCATCCCGAACCCTGCGGAAGGGTTCGGGATGCTGAGTGAGTGAGGTCAGTGAACTCACATTTACTAATGTTCGTAGCTCAGAATGAACCTAGAAGTGCAGACAAAATCCCAGTTTCAGCACCAGGTGATCAGTACATCAGTGACTCTCTATCCCCGATAAGCATGGGCTACAGACAAATGTTTGTTTCCATAGATTTCCCGACAGTGACATACTTGTTATGGGATTCCTCCTTTTGTTGGTCAACGTCCTTAATGGCTCCTTGTTTCTGTCCGTCTTCTAAGAATAGGAAACCAAATTTGATTAAAATGCAATCCTTTAAACACAACTGTAAAAGGTGCCCATCGATGGCTCAATAACAGCCAGGGCCACAGCAGGTTTGATCACTAGTAATGAATGACAGGCTATATTTTTCTAAGCGATATCGGATTGACGCCTCCAATAGAAGAATTTGCATTTGAATGTTATGTTTAACATAAAAGACATTAACGGCAGGCAGTGTTTGCTTCCCAGCTTAGGCTGAAGATGACCGGTTCTCTTTACATCATATCTGAGCATTATGAAAGATGGTTACCCGGAAAACACAAATTTTTTTCTGTTAACCCCTTTAATACCACTATACCATTATGAACGGAGGAGTGGTGGATGTCACAGACACAGTGTACAGAGCCAATCTGAGCTGCTCTGTACCTTGTGATTGCTGTGATGACCAATCACAGGTAATGCAAATGTAGACACTAAGAGGGTTATTCACAAAGCTAGCCGAAGGATCAGCTGTAGCTGCAGCATCTCAGAGCCGGCTCCGCCTAGTTGCAATGACAGATCAGCGTCCCCAGGTCACCTGGGGACGCTGAACTGTCATTAAACAATGACAACTTGGCGGAGCCGGCTGTGACGTCACGGCTGGCTCTGCCCAGTTGTTATTCATTGGGCGGGACCTGCTAGAAGACTCTAGCAGGTCCCGGCCAATGGGAAACATTTGGGCAGAGCTAGCCGTCACTGCTAGCTCTGCCCGATTGTTTCTTTTTTTTCAATTTTTCTTTTTTCAATAATCTTTTCTTTTTTTATTGGAAATCTTAATTTATTTTTGAACATTGATCTTTTATTTACATTTGTAAACGTTTTTACACTGTTTTTCTATTCTGCTCGGTACCACAGGGGTACTGAGCAGAATAGCTGAGCTATTCTATGAGATATTCAGCCCCTATGAGATTGGCAGCGAGTAGCCTGACAAAAAGTTCGGCTAAGCAGATCCAGAGTCGAACTCCTTCTGCACTTCGGCACAATGATTATTAAATACCACCAAAATAAAGCTCTACTGGTCTTACAAAAAAATAAAAAAATAAAGTAAAATTCATCTAGGTACATTGTTGGATGACTGGGTAACTGTCAGTCAAACTATCACAGCACCGAAATCTGAAAAATAGCCAGGTAATGAAGGAGCATTACAGGCTGGTACTCAGGTGGTTAAAGGGAATGTAACCTGACCTACGGCCTAAGGAAAAAACAGTGCTGCGGTGCCCATAGGTACCTGTGACATTCAACCAATCAAATCCCTATGTCTTTCTGGAGTCCCACTGGATCCTGGGCTTAGGCAATACACGGAGCCTCAGGTTAATAAGCCCCACAATGTGTGATTCAATGTCAAATGCCAGAAGTTCAGTATGCAGAAGAGGCTCCGACAACAATTGAAGTACAAAGGCAGAGCTTAACACTGGGAAGGGCAAGGCTTGATCTCAACTTTGCCAGAAGTCAAGGTCCCATGTATGGCCTAGGTTTATGATCCAAGGGACTCCACAGGGATAGATAAAAACAAAATATGAAGACTTGCCTGGCTCTCTATAGATTCAATATTTCCCAAACAACTACTAAAAATCAAAATGCAGCCAGTCAAAATGGAACTTCTGGGCTTAAAAAAAAAAAAATGAAGAAAGTGAATAAGCACGACAGCCAGGCTACTAGAATTTTCAAAAACAGCTCATCAATGGCAGCCTCCAGATCTCTCCTAAGACAGCTTTACAAGTGTAAAGTCCCGCCTGCACAAACTAATATGGAGAACATGTCCCAGCTCATTATGAGGGCCCACTGAACACATTTGAAGATATAAACTTTTTGAAAACAATACTAAACCTTTTTGTTGCTGATCCTTCTGGGGTTCATATACACACTTCTGGGTGATGCCCAAACTTTCTGGCCAAATCGGAATAGATAAAATCCTTTGTCCTCTGGAGTATTGTTCCTGCCCAGACACCTGCAGACACACAACAAATCCAGCATTAGGAGAATTATGGGATGGGATACTTGAAATGGGCCAGTATTTTTTTTTGGCAACAAGGTTTAGGCAAACCTTGGCACTCCAGATGCGGTGAAACTGAAAATCCCATCATGTCTCTGACAGTCATGCCTGAGGCTGTCAGTCTTGCAATGCATCATGGGACTTGTAGCTCCAGAACAGTTGGAGTGTTGAGGTTGCCTACCCCAGGTATAGACACTGTGAAGTCTTGCTGTTGGAGTATTAGGTTACTGGGTTGAAAATTCTGTTGCACCCAATAAAGGTAAATCATTTTTTAGGATTACGATAGGGGTTTGGGGGAATATTATAAGGAAAATCAGTACTTATTTCTCCCCCTTGTCCTTTTTATCTTTAAGTGTATCTAAAGCCATTTTTTTGTTTCAGATAAAGAAGGAAAGAGATTAGAACCCGTCAGGTTTTCTATTGTTGCCTGTGACCTGGCTGCGGAGATTCACCCTGTGTGTCCTGATGGCCATTGGCTCTGGGACCAAAAGTGATGGAAAAGCAAATATTTTGACTTCATCAGAACAGGAATAAATGGGAAATATTCTTATGGGGACACTTGTTCCAGTGACAAGAGATGATTTCTGTTACTTCTGTGTCTACATGGGACAGAGTTTTAACCATTTCCTACTCTATCCAAAGCTAAAAAAAATTCTATATGTTCTAAAGAGAAAAATATGCAACAAAATATATGTAGTGGCTCTCTAACATCCGCCACAGTGAGAATGTGCATCACAGGGAGACAACTCTGCATGCAGGGCAAAGGAAGAGGCAGCGTTGTCACACTGATACATGGAAGTGCCAAGGGTTGAAATTTATAATTTTTTTTAGCTAATGGAGGCCCGAAGATATAAAACTAGCTCCAATACAGAAACTGATGCAAGGTAAACGAGAACATATATATTTTGGGGGAGGGGATTAAATAAACATTGTTCCAAAGCTCCTAAAATCTATTTTTATTGCATATAAAAATATGTATATGATGCTTTGTGGCCCTTTAAAATAAAGTATGTTTTGGCAAAGGTTAAGAACTTTTGTTAGGTTGTTAATGCTTTCTGGAGAGATTTCTCTTCACTTCCTGTTGTTACCATATGGCCACTGGGACAAGAAGTGAGGGGAAATCAACAATCAAATAACAACCAAATGATATAACCCATCACACTGCAAAGTTTTGTCTCGAGTTCTGACTTCAGCTCTTATATGATGCATGTACTTACCTTTCCAATGGTCATCCCCTCATAATTGAGCCTTCCTTCTTTTATAAACCTTAGCAGTGGGGAGCCGGGCACAGAGTTGAAGTCACCACAGAGAATGATGGGACAGAATTTCCCATCCTGCATTTGGGCAACCTTGGTAATCTCAGCTAGAAGAATAGCCAGCTGGGTGAGCTTTATGTCCCCTCGTCGGGGGTTGTAGAGCAGATGGGTGTTTGCCACGCAGATGCTTGGAGCTTCCTTCCCCATCTTAGGTTGCAGCATTAGCAGCAGGCCTATGTTGTCACGGTCTAGAAGAGCGATGTTCCTCCTTAAATATTCCACCGGTTTCACCAACATCAAGCTGAATTTATCGGATTTGAAGCAAATGGCGCAGCCGTCCGGTTTACTCCCGGTGCGAACCTTGTACTCACAGAGGTAGCCTGAAATACAAAACACAAATCCTATTCAGCATACATCACATCAATGAGTAATATTTAATGAGGTACAGTTGTACGGTCAACTCATTTGTAACACTCGGATTTCAGTGCATTGAGAATTTATTACAAATGTCAAACTTATAAATACCAGAAATAAAAAGTAATTAAAGATATCAACATTTGTGCTGCAATTACCCAGGAAAAAAAGAAATGGCTGCCTCTTCCTCTAAAAGTTGCTGGCCTGATTCTGAGCCGAGAGTCTGGCTGATGCTGTTCTTTTAGGATTTCTACCATTACACACTTTTCTGAGCATCGTAAACCTTTCAGTAGTCCCCCTACTTGTTACAAGTCTTAAAACAAGGGATGCACCAATACCGTTTTTTTGGTATCGAGTACCAATATTTTTTTTTTTTTACCGGTACTTGCCGATACCGAGTACTGGTGCCTTGTGCCCCGATTATCAGGAAGTTGGGTGGTGGATCATGACCCGTCGCCCGGCTTCCTGATTGCCTGTGAGGCTGGTGTTCTAGCGAAAGAACACTGGCTTCAGAGGCTGCCTGGCTACCTGACCAATCAGGAACCCAGGCAGCGAGTCATGAGGTGCCATCCGGCTTCCTGATTGGCTAGGAAGCAGGCTTCACTTGTTGATAGGCATTTTGGCTTCCTGATCAATCAGGATACCAGACGGCACGTCATGACCCGCTTCCAGGGTTCCTGATTGACTGGAAAGCCGGCTTCACTTGTTTTTAGGCAGCGTGGCTTCCTGACCAATCATGAAGCTGGGACATGAGTCATGACATGACACCCGGCTTTCTGATTCCAGGCTGCCTACCAACACGTGAAGCCGGCTGCCTAGCCAATCAGGAAGCCGGGCGGGCACGTCATGACCCGCCTCCCTGACTGGAAAAGGAAGCCAGCTCCATGCTCCCTCAGCACTGCTGGTCACAGAAGTTCCAGTATGGGAGGGAAGTATTGGAGCATTTGGGTCAGTACGAAGCCCAAATACTCGTTATCTGCACTGATATCGATACTAGGATCGGTATCGGTGCATCCCTACTTAAAACAAACTTTTACTCTAATATTAACAAGAAGAGCACTGCTGAGCGAGGGTGAGGGAGTGTACATAGTCCTGTACAAGTTTCTATTTTCTAAGGCGTTTGAGTGCTCTGCGTGTGGGGTAAGTAGAACATGCTAACTGTTCCTATAAAGTACAGGTTCACTTTAGAGTGATGTAATCTTGCTGGGAAGATTACAAAGTTGAAATATTGGCTTTTATGAACAACACCGCCCTCAAGATTCCTATGCTGGTCATTTGACTTCTGCTGATGGCGAAGGTCAGCTAACTGGAACTCTGAACCTTCCTCCCCATCAGAAATCAAACACTTAGGCTTTTAATGACATGATCAGCACCGGAGGGAATGTTAAAGTACTCTGTTCTCTGCAGAATCTTGTAGAAGTTATTGTAAAGTAAATCTGCCATGACGGATATAGGGTGCTACCATTGCCGACAAGTTTCTGAACTAGGGACAGTTCCTGATTCAGAAGATGGTCTACAAACTGTCAAGGGTCCCCGGGAACAGGAAGCAGATCTGATACTGACATCAAACTGCAGCTGCCGATAGAAGCGCAATTCTGATGTTACTGTTAATCAATTGGGAAATCGCAAAAAGATAAAAAGGAAAACCAAAATGTATTTAATTTTACATAGACATCAGGGAACTACATTCAAAAGCGTAAAATAATGGTCTAAATGCTGCATACCGAGTGCTTCCAAGCTGGGTTTGATTTGTTCCTGGTAGTGATCTTCCTGAACTTCTTGTAAACATAAAATCTAGAAAAGTAAAGTATAAAGCGGTACTCATAAGCAATGTGTTAGTGGTGAATGGCTGATTCACCAACCATTTGAAGACTGTATAAAATGTGCCATGTTTGAATACATTTCACCTCCTGCAACTGCCAAAGATTCATGTTATATGTAAGCAATATTGACCAAATGCCTGTGGACACCTGACCATCACACCTATACTACATGGCCAAAAGTATGAGGACAACCCTTCAAATGACCAGGTTCAGGTGTTTACAGTGAAGGAAACTGGTAATGCTACAACATCCAAAGACATTTTAGATAATTGTGCACTTTCAACCTTGTGACAACAGTCCTTTTCTGTTCCAGCAGGACTGCGCCCCTGTGCACAAAGCCAGCTCCATAAAGACATGGTTTGATGAGTTTGGTGTGGAGGTACTTGGTTGGCCTGCACAAAGCCCTGACCTCAACACTACTGGACACTCTTGGAATAAACTGAAAAGCTGACTCCAAGCCAGGTCTTTTCATTCAACACCAGTGACGTGTGGTACCTTCCGTGCTGAGTGAGGCATTCCCCAGCTCCGCCCCCAGCACGTTGACATCCTGCCCCCAGCTCGCCAAAGCCCCGACCGCAACCCCGTCACCAAGCTATGTGTGGAAGAGGAAGGGAGGAGCCTCCCTGTCCCTCACTTGCTAATCACTGAGGAGGCATCGAGATCCATGTCCTCAGTGGGTTTTTTTCTTTCTTTCTTTTGACTGGAGAGCCTGGACCAATGGCGCTTTGTCATTGTCCAAACCATCCACAGAGCTCAAGCCTCTAACAGAGTAGAGGCTGTTGCAGCTCTGGCCTCACCATGTTAGGTTACACAAGCAGTGGGGAAGCCCGCTACTGTGTAACCTAACTTAGCTGTCAAAAGCTGGATGCAGCGCTGCCTGTAATTAACAGGCAGCACTCCGTCCATGACAGGTTATACAGCGGAGAGGCTTTGCCTGCTCTGTAACCTGTTACAAGCCGCTCTGTGATAGAAGCGCAATTCTGATGTTACTGTTAATCAATTGGGAAATCGCAAAAAGATAAAAAGGAAAACCAAAATGTATTTAATTTTACATAGACATCAGGGAACTACATTCAAAAGCGTAAAATAATGGTCTAAATGCTGCATACCGAGTGCTTCCAAGCTGGGTTTGATTTGTTCCTGGTAGTGATCTTCCTGAACTTCTTGTAAACATAAAATCTAGAAAAGTAAAGTATAAAGCGGTACTCATAAGCAATGTGTTAGTGGTGAATGGCTGATTCACCAACCATTTGAAGACTGTATAAAATGTGCCATGTTTGAATACATTTCACCTCCTGCAACTGCCAAAGATTCATGTTATATGTAAGCAATATTGACCAAATGCCTGTGGACACCTGACCATCACACCTATACTACATGGCCAAAAGTATGAGGACAACCCTTCAAATGACCAGGTTCAGGTGTTTACAGTGAAGGAAACTGGTAATGCTACAACATCCAAAGACATTTTAGATAATTGTGCACTTTCAACCTTGTGACAACAGTCCTTTTCTGTTCCAGCAGGACTGCGCCCCTGTGCACAAAGCCAGCTCCATAAAGACATGGTTTGATGAGTTTGGTGTGGAGGTACTTGGTTGGCCTGCACAAAGCCCTGACCTCAACACTACTGGACACTCTTGGAATAAACTGAAAAGCTGACTCCAAGCCAGGTCTTTTCATTCAACACCAGTGACGTGTGGTACCTTCCGTGCTGAGTGAGGCATTCCCCAGCTCCGCCCCCAGCACGTTGACATCCTGCCCCCAGCTCGCCAAAGCCCCGACCGCAACCCCGTCACCAAGCTATGTGTGGAAGAGGAAGGGAGGAGCCTCCCTGTCCCTCACTTGCTAATCACTGAGGAGGCATCGAGATCCATGTCCTCAGTGGGTTTTTTTCTTTCTTTCTTTTGACTGGAGAGCCTGGACCAATGGCGCTTTGTCATTGTCCAAACCATCCACAGAGCTCAAGCCTCTAACAGAGTAGAGGCTGTTGCAGCTCTGGCCTCACCATGTTAGGTTACACAAGCAGTGGGGAAGCCCGCTACTGTGTAACCTAACTTAGCTGTCAAAAGCTGGATGCAGCGCTGCCTGTAATTAACAGGCAGCACTCCGTCCATGACAGGTTATACAGCGGAGAGGCTTTGCCTGCTCTGTAACCTGTTACAAGCCGCTCTGAATGGAGAAAAAGCTGTCAGCTTCACACTTGAAGCTGACAGGTTTTTCCTACATAATACTAGGTGAGGCTCTGCCTCACTTGCATCCCCTGACCACACTTCCCTGGCCAACCCCAGTATTCAACCTCACAAATGCTTTTTTTGGCTGAATGGGAATAAATTCCACCAAACACTCAAAGAAGAGTGTAAGCTGTTATACAGACAAAGGGGAGGCAACTCCATAGTAACGCCCATGGTTTGAGAATGTGATTTCCCAGAAGCTCATATAGGTGTGATGGTCAGGTGTCTTCATACGTTTTGGCCATTTAGTGTAAAATGATTTGAAAGTAGGAAGGCCAGTAAATCTAGATACATATTATTCCTAGATTTGTCCACTTTTACTACACATATGCCCTAGTGTCCAGACTAACCCTGTAAATGAAAAACAAAAAAATTCAGGCCTTTACACAAGTTAACTCAAGGTGGCAGGGGATGAATAAAAACATGATATGCCATGTTACAAATGGTGGACCTAAAGGAGAACTATGGGGTAAGTGTTTTTCCCCATAGTTCTCATCAGGGTAACGGGAGGACACAAACTAGCGTCCTCCCGTCACCCTAAGCTCAGTATACCACGAGCTGTAGCTGTATACTAAGATGCCGCAGCCAGGACAGATCCCGACATTACTGTCGAGATCCACCCAGCTGCGAGATTGACAGCTGGCTCTGCCTATCTAGAGGCAGAGCCAGCTGTGCCCGCCCCCTCCCCTGTCCGTTCCGCCAGTCAGCGCTGGAGGTTCGGACAGGGGAGGGGGGGAATCCCTGCAGGGAGCCGTGAATGACAGTCACGGCTCTCTGCAGGGATAGATCGACAAGTGGGCGAGCGACGCTATGTGATCGCTCACTTCCCGATCTATTGAGCCGCCCTGTAACAGTTTCATTGTCACACGTCGGCTAGAACTATGAGGCTGAGTGATTATCACTCGCCTCATAGTTTTCCTTTAAAGACGGTCAAGTGGCAGCAGATATGAAATGTGTACCTTTAGTTTTCTTCCAGAGTAATTTATTTCTAAAGGTAGACATTTGCCACACCACCTTCTGCCTCCCACAACATGATGAGCAGCTTTACTGACCAACAGGCAGAGCTTCGACTTCAAGTCTGCTTCTCAGGTTGTCGATCTACCATCTGTGACTCCCGGCGGCAAAAGTCGCCGGGAGTCTGTTTAAACAGCCCCGATGCTGGCGACGTACACTGTACATCGTCAGTCACGAAGGGGTTAAAGGGAAAATATGCTGTATGTCTGATCTGCATATATTAGTTACTTTTCCAGAATGCATCTTAAAAGAAACCTGTCAATTTGTCCAATTGGTGGCAAAGTGACAGTTTCTTTTAATAACAACCGTGCCCCTTCTACTCATAATCACATTTTTTTCCACCACTCTAGTTATTTGTCGGAGCCCATGTGGATATGGGGAGGCATGTCACCTTCTCCCCTTTCTTTCCAGGATGCAGTGCTTAGTCCTGAGCAGCCAATCACCAGGTTCAAACACTGAGGGAAGGTGATTAATGGGCAAGGTGAAAGGTTCCTTTTACAGGTTTTTTTTTTTTTTTTTTTTTTTTAAAATTTCCCAAATTTAAAATTTTTTT